CTCTAGGCCTTCTGGAAGTTCTAGATATATCACTGATTGTGAATATAAACTGTAGTCTAACCACGTTTCAGTCGGTTGTTAGAACTGGAAAACAGTGGTGACTCTACTGAAAGAGTGCCTGTAAAACTGCTGCAAGGTAAAACACCTGTAAATGTCTGTTACAAGCTTCAAATAAACCACATAGAATGTCTTATAAGCTTCAAATGTCCATGTTTATCTAGAACAGCAATAACGTGTTAATGTATATCAGCATTAGCTTAGTGCTAACACACTATGAGAAGTCCCATAGAGGTGCAATTAGCATTTTTGTAGAGGTTGCTTGTTTTTAACCTGATTTTAACATGTATGGCTCAATTTGAAGGCCTAGCTCTAATAGTGATGCTTCACCATTGTATGTATGCGCATCTCTCTGTACCGTTAATTTAATTTTGTCCCCTCCCTGAGGCAGCTGGGCAGCAGTGGGTGTTGTGGCAGGATGTGGGTATGAGTGTGTGGTGGGGCGAGAGAGAGAGAGAGTGGCAGCGCAGCGCGATACTGTACCTAGGAACAACAGTACGCAGAAACAAGCCCACGAAGGGAAGGAGCGTTTCGCAAGACAACACAGAGCTGCATGCACCTAGCCTTTGTGCCTGCTTCTCTCTCAGATACACATTTTTCCTTTGCTCTTATCTCTTTTTCTCTCTCACTCTCTCTCACTCTCTCTCTCTTCCGTTAAACAGTGTTGTGTTGATGGTAACTGTCAGCACTCAGCAGTTTATGTTGTACACAATAAAATGAAAGGAAATTGTACATAATTAACCCCTTTAACTCTTAGGGCCTTTATGTGAGCACCAGGCATCCATATTAGCAATTAAAGGGGAATTCCACTGATTTTTCAAAAATTCTGCGGTATTAAATTATACAGATGTAAACAGAGTCATTTGAAGTAGTTTGAAGTGAAGGACGCCGTTCTAGAGAAATTCACGAGTCAGAATTGTTCACAGTGGTGGTGATAGGAACCAGACGTCTGAAGAGTTCAATGCCTCTAAAACCTCCCTCACAGAAAGTTGTAAATTGAAATGGTTATGAATTCACTGCCTGATGTATGAGATATTGTTTAGTGATTTTAGCCTTAAATGTATTTTTTAAACCAATTTTAGGCCCAAGTAGGGTGTTGTAAGGCAAAATGTAGCTTCACTGTTGGTTCTAGATAGTAAATAAAATGGCTATATTTGCGTTGTAGACATTGTGACCCCCGGTTCCTATCATCGCCACTGTAAATGACATCTGTGTAGGTTTTAAACCATTTTATATCAAACCCCTCTGAATGACTTTGTTTACATATTAGTGAATTAATTTGGGAGACATTTTGAAAAATGGGTGGAATTCCCCTTTAACATTAGGACTTAACCCTGGCCAGTTCACTGGGTGAAAATAGTTCAGCTGGACAGGCGTTAGCTGAAGTGACCTCAATGATGAGGACACAGGCAGCACTCCAAGCTTCATCCGTCACTGTTGTTAAAGGAGTTTCACACTTCAATGCTGCCAAGTCAAGCCCTTAGATTCTCAGTGAACTTTCCTGATTCCATCTACTTCAACAGTGATACTTGATTTATGAATATCAGAGGTGTTTAGGGTAGCCTCATGCTCCAGCAAAAGTGCAGTTACTGCACTGAAATAATGACCCAATATGAAGTAAAAGTAACCAACTATTCACTTACTGAGTAACTTATAGAATTATCAGTATAGGAATTAAAGTTTATTAGAACTTTTGCTCCTTTTGCTAAAGTGAGATGTGTTAGCAACAGCAAAGAAGTCCAGGAACTGAACTAACGGAACAGAATTTATCGATTCATCAATAAAAAACACTGAAATGTGTATTCTTGATTAATCAGCTTAGTGATTAGTTCACAGTTTAAGTGACAAACAGAGTAGGCCATTATAAAGGCTTATTTAGCAGGTTGTCCATAAGGGATGCTATAAGCACTCATCTTACTTTTGTGAGCATCACTGAAAGAGAGGAAACCCACACCAGCAGGATCTCACTAAGACACATACACCAATCACTGATACTGCACTGCTGAGAATGATCCACCACACAAATAGCACCTGCTCTGTGAGGGTCCTGGGGGTCCTGACCACTGCAGAACAGGGTAGAAGGGGGTTAACAAAGTATGCAGAGAAACAGATGGACTACAGTCTGTAACTGTAGAACTACAAAGTGCACCTATATAATAAGTAGAGCTGATAAAATGGACAATGAGTGTAAAAACAAGGAGGTGGTCATGATGTTATGCCTGATCGCTGTGTATTTGTAGTTACAAATTTCATGCATATGAATTTAAAGTGTATATGAAGTAAAGGTTTTGTTTAACTAGGACTTAGCTGAGCAGCTTGGCAGCTAACAGGCTAACGGTCTCCTCCAGTTATATCCATTTAAGCTTTACTGATGGATTCAATGTAAACAGTGCAACATAGTGTAGAACAGGAAACTTGAATGTCTATTACAAGCTTTAAGTGCTTCAAAAGGCCATGTGTTAGCATTGGCGTAAGTAGTGTTAAACCCAGCATGGAAAGTGAACACACACCACGCTACCTTGGCGCTAATATCACTTTGAAATGGCCATAAAAGCACAAGCGAAAATTAGTGTGATTTTAGCTTGTTGATTTTAGTTGGTACCTGCAGATGCCCTGATAATGCATACTTGACATTTCCTACTTCTCGTCTCTCTAACAGAAAGACACTGCGAACACAAATCGTTCTTTCTTAATGAGTAAATTGCATAAATAAGAAAAAAGTGCATTCACACGGATATAGGCCCAATTCTATTTGACCCCTTGCCCCTACCACTTAGCCCTTACCCCTGCGTTTTGTGCATTCACGCCTAGGAGTAGGGTGTCGTTGAGATAGAGGGGTAGGGTGAAGTGTTAGAACTACATGGATCTCCAAATGGAGGTTTTTCAGAGGTACACTCCAAATGGAGTGTTATGAGAGAAGAAAGAAAAAACGGCAAGATGGCTGCACAACAGACCAAAGAAACCCACAAATGTGAGAGTTTTCTCTGTTAAAAATTACGATAACCATTGTATTATCTTAGTTTAATGTCATTACAGTGTAGTAGTAGTATGCTGATGTCTTGGTAGCAAGCGAGCCAGATTCTTGTTTGAATTTTCTCGTTCCACCTTAAATTTCTCTTTAAAGGAGTATGAGTCCCTAAATGTAACTAAAGCCCAGTAGTGAGGAGCTGAACTTTACCCTCCTCTGCTATCACTGCAGACTGACTGGGTCACCTGCAGAGCAGCGCTAGTAGCTGTTAATGAAGTAATGTTCTTCTTTATTTGACAGTTGGTCCATTTTGTAGGGGAAGATTTCAACCACTACCCCTTGTAACTGAGTTCCACACAAACCCGAAAACAAGGGGTAGGGGTATATTTCATAGATGTGTATATTTCATAGATGTGTATATTTCATAGATGTATATTTTGTTATATTTTGTTCTGCACAGTATTGTTCTTTCTGCTGTTTCTGATCCCTAGATTGCACTTCATGTCATATACCGCCCCCAATTACCTTATTGCTTCATGTGAGTGGGCAGTTATCCAAGCCCCTCACTGCTAGTTGTACCATGTATGACTATGTATGTGACAAATAAAACCTTAAACCTTGAAAAGTAAGAAATGGGACTGGGCCTTAGTCTTCGGCCCTTGGCTCATCACAGAGACCACATTTGGGTCCATCAGGCCAACATTTTGGAAGCTCTTTTAACGAGTACCACATGTACTGTATGGTTTGCAGTTGTTCAAAGTACTACATCCAAGCTTAGTGTGCGTGATATGGCAAAAATATAACATGATTACATAAAATTTCCTTTTTTTAAAGTCAGAACAGACAAAAAAAGCTACAATTCATAAAAAGCTATCAAATACTGTGAGTACAATTATTGTTATTCAACATTTTTCATACTGTGCTGCACTAAACCCACTTAAACAGAATTAATTATGCTCTTCTCCTTCTGAAACTTGCAGTTGATCATTGTTATTTAAAGGGCCCATATTATGTAAATCCAATTTATAATGTCCACTTTATAATGTAAACACAGTTCAAGTTTCAATACGTGCTATTCACTGCAAAAACAGCCCGTTTTGAAGTCACCGTTTCTGTGATGTCATGAGAACAAACTCATTTGCATACATCTGCCTATTTTAGCATACAGTTTAGCTCCACCCATTTGTATTAAAGTTCTAAGGAGTGTTTCAGCCCTGAGTGCTTTTGATTGAGGTACAGCCAATTAGAACCAAGCACATTTACATATATCAGTCTTAAAGGCACAGTAATAAAACAGCCTGTTTAATTCTGACAGATAAAGAGAGAAATTAGACTTAGAAAATGGTCAGATGAATTCTGACCACTCTGACCATTTACATAAGTTATGTTTTCCCTTTAAGTAAAAAAAAACAAAATACAAGAAAAATGCAGGATTATGGGCCCTTTGACTTCTGGCAATATTCACAATATGCTCAGAAAAACCTATAGTGATGTAATTTATCCTGATAATAATAAATAACACTGTGTACCCCACCGCTTACAAACCCACGAGATAAAAATAAAATGTCTGAGTTCATGTGAGTAATCCTTGCTGAGCGCTGTTATCTGCTTACATAATCATGAAGAGTGACTTTCCTTAAGAGAAGGCCAAGTCAGAGATCACTCCGCTGCCCGGCCTCTCTCTGTTGTGTATGTGTTACATGAGTGGTCTATATGCTTAATGAAGAACATGTGAAGCTGCCAGCCAGTCATGGCTGCTGGCTTTGCTTAAGCCTCTCTCCTCAGCCAATCAGAGATCAGCTCAGGCCAAAGATAGCCAGACCAGCAGAGGCAGCCAACAGCACTCATACCTACGCTTATCAGTCATATCATGCGCGTCGGCCAGTCAGTACAGCAACAGTCAATATGTTTCTTATACAAAATATAACTGGACAGCCCTTATCTATTGTTATGAACTACAGATATGGACACTCACCTTATCACAGTGGATGGCAGCTGGAGCTGAGGATGAGCACTGTAGAAGCAGGGGATAGAAAAAAGAAAAAAAAAAGAGAGGGGGTTTTCCCCCTCCTCCTCCTCCTCCTCCTCCTCCCCTTCTCCTCAGCAGGGGAGAAAAGAGCTCAGCTGCTATAAATGTGAACAGCTAACAACAGCCTTTCCCCCAGAGGAGCCAGTCGTCTGCCCCTCGCTTCGTCCCCCCAGCATACACCCCAGTAAACCCCAGTATCAGCTCACACGCCTGTCCTCCCTTTGTAGTCCTCCGCTCTTCCTTCCATTCCCTTTTTCCTCTTGTCCTGTTCTTCAACAGGCAGAGACAGCTACATGGATGCTACAGACCTAGAGCTCCTAGTTCCACCTCCCTCTGAGCACTGCTATTGGCTGGCCCCAGGATGATGGGAGGCTCCGATTGGCTGAAGCACAAGTCCATTACTCTTAACAGGATGAGGATAGGATTTAATGGCTGAGCACGGCAGATGCCATGATTGTATCCGGGTAGTGGATCAGGGATATTAACCCCTTACTGCCCTTCTTTCATAAACAATGCCAAATTTTCCTATTTACTCATTTCACACTGGCCTTTTTATTCCTTTCAGATGTTTTATTTACTTTGCATATCCATTAAATAACAGAGAACATTTCATGGATGTTATCATATCCATAAAAGAACACATTCTTGCACCTATAAGCCAAGGTTTTGGTTATAACTATGTAATTAATATGTCATTACCAACCCACAGTATTTCTATCAATATATCTAATTGTAAAACAAGACATATTTTTATTTCAGGTGAAGTTACTTCGGCTGCTGTGAAGTAGTGAGAGTGCACGCATTGATTTCCAGTGGTTTACGCTCAGTGTCATGTTTCGTTGGCCATCCTAAGGTTTGATTTCCATCTTAACTCATCTTGAATGAGTCTCCGGTCATCATGGCAACAAATTCTGGGAAAAGAGCAACATCTATGATAATTTTTTCAGAATATGGCTTTTGCATAAAGTTTGCAAACAGAAGTTATAGGCCTCTAAGGTCATGTGACTTTCTGTAGTGAGCGTCATGCCCAAATAAGGAAATCTAGGCTGTTTTTCTCTATAGGCAAATTTAATGCTGTTTTATTATGTTCTATACTGTCTATCCTGTATGCATGTCCACCTGAATGTCAGTGAACCTATAAATTTTAAGGTTAAACAGTCAAACTATGAATACTGCCATGAGTAAGCTGACTCTCCTGCGAATTGGTCTGACATTGTATGAAAGCAAGTATACTATTAAATTTCAACACTATTATATACAAACACCAGCTACTTAGACTGCAGCCTGAAACTGCCAAAGCAACTCAACTACTGCATTTGATGAAGGCTGCTGGTTTGTGTGGAGTATTTTGGTGAGGTTGCAAACCTTATGATGTCAATTCAGTGTGAAGTAGTCTTAGCTTGTAGCCAAATTGGAGTATTAGCATAACCTGAATAAGAACTACAGGTGAAAATGAGACATCTAGCTAAATCTGGCCTATTTACATCATGAAATTATTCATTTATTGAATATCACTGTCACTATTTTTTCATTATCAACATTACATATGAAAAAACCCACACATGTAGGTTCACTGGTGGTTTTGGATAGTAAATAAAATGGGTATATTTGTGTTGTAGACATGGCGACCCCTGGCTACTATCACCACCACTGTAAAGAAATCTGAGTTTGTAAGTTTCTCAATGAACCATTTCACATCAAACCAATCTGAACAATTAAATTACACAGAATTTTTGAAAGATTGGTGGAGTTCCCCTTGAAAGAGTTATTGGCAGATAGTGCCGAGACTGACAGGCCTAGAGTTAATATCTTCATATGAATCATTTCTCACTCATAGCTAATTGAAACAAGCAGTGAAACTTTGTGAAAAGTGCAGATTCTACACTTTTAATCAGTACATTTTATGTTAGTATATTAGAAAAGATATTTGATTATGATTTGAAGTAATGAAAAGTTATTGTTGTGCATACAGTCTTGCTTTGCAGAAAGAAAAAAATATTTCTGCCATGATTTTGTCTTTTCTTGACAAACAAACTCAATATAAACATAACCATTACTAACTATTTAGGCCTAATACATTATGTAATTACATTTGAATAGGATAGCAGAACAGCAATAATAATTTGACCATGTGCAGGGCTGCTTCTGAATGTTTGGGAGCCCCACCCACCTGAGTCATATAATTCAGAGGATCCAGTGGCATTCACTGGAAAAAAACACTGGGTTTGGAACATTTTTGGTTTCTAAGAGCGAAAACGTCCATTTTTCCCGTTGAGAAAAACGGCTCAGGCTCGGAGTTCCTTATTTGGATGTACACGTCTACATATTTGTGACTACATGCATCAGAGGCCTATTGCCATTTTACTGGCATTGAGTTTCATAGTAGAGAATCATGCTGTTGATTCTGTTTCTCAAGTTCTAAACAAAACATGACAGTCATGAACTTCTTTTACGAGTATATAAGCACGGTTCTTTTTCATTTCACTCAGATCTGTTCTTGTACCTTCGTAATCAATCGTTCCATCTCTGTCTTTGTCAGCCTCCTTCATCATCTGCTCTGCCTCTTCCTCATTCAGAGGCTCACCAGCATTCATCAACACATACCTGCGAAAACAAAACATGCTTCTATAGAGTTTGTATTGCTTTTTAAAGGAGCTTTTTTTAAATAACAGCATGAGTCCGAGTTAAAGGGCCTGTATTGTGGAAAGCCAAATTTCCCTCGCTTTTCTTTTTAAAAAAGGAGTCTGAAGTAATATGTAAACACTGCGAAAGTTTCAAAACTTACAGTTTACTGCCCGGTCCATACAGTCCAGCCTGTTTTGAATTCATTGTTTCTGTAATGTCACAAAAACTTATTTACATATATCTACATATTACATGTGCTTATACAGCCTACAGCTGTTTAGCTCCGCCCATTCATATGAAGCTGTAAGGAGTGTTTCTGACTGAGGCACAATACAGAGTAGCCAATCAGAAAGCTCATTTATCTTGCATCAGTCTTAAAGGCACAGTAACAAAATCAGCCTGTTCAGTTCTAAGGGATAAAGAGAGGTTAAAAAACGGTCATGTAAAAAAGAATTATTTTATTTTTGACTAACTATTTTTGGCACATAAAAAGACACACATATTATAAATAGACCTTAAGAGAAAAGATAAAATAGAAATGTAGTCCACAGACCCTTTAAAGGAACGTGATTGCATGTTTTTATGAGTGTTTGCAGGCCTCATACATCACGTTTCAGCTTTGCTTTTGTGCTTATTGTGCCTACAAAGTATAAGCTGGAAACCTGAAGTAGCACTTTTCTTTTACCCATTCCAGTTTCCACAGACCTCTTGTGAAAAGACTGCTGTCTCACTGAATGATAGGAACTTAAGTTAGACTCATTTACTTCAGTGTATTCCACTCGATGTAGCCCTTGGCCTCCTTATCGAACACTTTAAAGGCGGCTCGTAGCTCTGCATCTTGGTTTTTAGTTCTTTCATGGTAAAGCGCCATGAGGCCCAGGAAGCTGTCGCAGTTGAAGGTGCCTTTACCTGTAAAAGTAGAAATGTAAAATGCTGACAACCAGATAAAACATGAAGTAACTTCTTATGCTGAGACTCATCACTCCTAATGAACAGGCCTACAAAGTTCATGAGACGAAAAGACCCAACAATGTTTACAATATGCAACAATATTTCACATTTTCTGCATAATTAGATCATTAAGATATATAAACAACAGAGCATAGAGGTTTGCTGTGAATTCTCTGTTCTAAGTGGTGGTGATAGGAACCAGACGTCTGAACAGTTAATGCCTCTAAACGCAATGTCACAGACAACTTTTATACAAAATAGTTGCAAGACGTGTTTTACGGCAGTTATGCAATAAGATTTTGGCCTAAAATGTGTCTTTCAAAATAAGTTCATGGCAGAGGGGTACGTGCAGGTTGTTGTAAGCTTAAATAGTCTGCATTTTTACAGCTCTATTTGTGTTGTGGTCATGGTGACCCCTGGTTCCTATCACCACCACTGTAAAGAAATCAGAGATTGTAAGTTTCTCAAATAACCATTTCACATCAAACCACTCTGAACATTACATTACACAGAAATTTTTGAAAGATTGGTGGAATTCCCCTTTAAAGAGAAAAGGAGAAAAGGCCTAGAGTTTAATATTTTTATACAAATCATTTCTCACTTATAGCTCAGTGAAACAAGCACTGAAACTTTGTGAAAAGTGCAGATTCTATACTTTTAATCAACACATTTTGTGTTAGTATATTAGAGAAGATACTTGGTTATGATTTGAAGTTAATGGAAAGTTGTCGTTGTGCATACAGTCTTGCTTTGCAGAAAGAAAAACCATTTCTTTACATTTCTGCCATGATTTTGTCTTTTCTTGACAAACAAACACAAGAATACAGAATGTAAACTCAATATAAACATAACCATTACTAACTATTTAGGCATAATTCATTATGTAATTACATTTGAATAGGATTGAAAAACAACAATAATAATTTGACCATGTGTAGACCCGCTTCTAAATGTTTGGGAGTCCCACCCGCAGCTGTACACACATAAAATCATAATATTTTTCATTAAAACATAAAAATGTTTATATTCAGAATATATGTTTTGGTAATTGCAATTCTTAATTCTACAGACTTTTTCAGATTTTTTTTAAATCATGATAAATAAATCTTTCAACTTCACTTTAAAAGAAATCAATAAATCTTTAAAAAAACAAAATAGAAAAAAAAATTCACAAGTATAAATTCAGGGGTTGGAGTTTGAGACACCTCCCGACAGAAAGTACCCTGTAAATGATGATGTTGTATATACTTAGCTCATTTATTAATGCTTTGGGTTTAAATAGATCAAAATATAATCCTTGTACATACCTAAAGTCTGATTACTTAATTGTTTTTGGGATTTTTTCTTTTGTAATTTTGTTTGTTTGCTTGTTTGTTTGTTTGGTTTTACTGTAGGGCTGTAATTTGAATTCAATTTTGAATTTAATTCAGTAGAATGGCCTGTGGACAGAATGTAAACTGAATGTAAATGCAACCCATTATTAACCATTTAGACCTAATTAAAATAATATAAATGAAAAAATTATAGTAAGGAAGAATAGTAAGTATAGTAAGTATAGTAAGAAAATAAAGTACGGGCATCAACATTGCCATCTTGTGATTGTTCTGCGGTCGTATCACATGTTTTATTGAGTTTAACTTACTGAAAAAGAAATAAAACACAAAATGTAAAATTTTGCACAGGAAACATTTCATGTTGAATGTTTTCCAGTATGATAAATTCAGCAAATACACAGTGATTGTGCCTCACAGTGTGCAGAAGCTCTTTCAACACAAAACATCATGTAACCGGGGTGCCCAAACTTTTGCACATGACTGCAAGCCACCATGTTGTAAATAGAGGTGTTCCAGCTGTTTCTCCACACAGACAGCAGAGGGCGTTGAGTGCTTTATAAAGGGAGAGCTGAAGCCACTCTGTGTTCACTGGCGCCCTCATGCGGTCACAGCCTCACTCACAGCTCTCATCCCGTTTAATCCTCTTATGTGTCCCTGTTTACCAAACTCCATGTGAAGGGTGCTCAAATTAACTGGCTGACATCTAAAGTGCTGGGGGCAAGAGTGGAGAGCGTAAGCCGCAGATATAGTGACATAAAAAAAGAAAAGTAAATTACTCTACTTTCGGGATTGTGGTTTATTCAGCGGCCGAATAAAGCGGATTTAGCCCTGCCAGAAACACTGCACTGTATTACAGCCATGACAGATGCACAGATGTACAAATGCTATTATTTATAATACTACTGTAATAATGTTGTTTCTTCATTCATTATTAGTATTATCACTCCAGCCAAAAGTTTACATTGATATTGTGTTCGAAATACATCGCATTGCATTACATTATATAGGATCAAAGTCAATTATTTTGTGAGATTTTCACACACACACACACACACACACACATCGTCTAAACCGCTTATCCTTCAGGGTCGCAGCAGGGTGCTGGAGCCTATCCCAGCTGTGAGATTTTCAATTTCAATTAATTAAATTAATGTCTAAAACTGAAAAACTAAAAAAACTTACATAGCTGCAGTCTACCTGCTGGTTTATTTATTTAATATGTGTATGTATCGCTGTTGTCTGAAGAAAATCTTGTATCTCCAAAATTACAACTTTACAGGAGAAGAAAAAAAACTTCTTTACTTTTAATGTAAGGCAATGGAACCAGATGTTTTTCATTTTTGGCCGTTTCATTTGGTCCATTCATCGTGAAATTTATAGACAGTGTAAGGGGCCACAGGCCAAAAATGGAGATATATGATATATATATATATATATATATATATATATATATATATATATATATCACTGTTGTTGGAACAAAACCTCGTATCTCCATTTTTGTCATTTTTTCAGTTTTTGACATAATTTGAAAATGCCTGTTTTCCTTTGTATTGTGCGTAAATTTCGTGATGAATGGACAAAAAGAAACGGCCCAAAATGACTTGGAGGAAAGTCTGGTTCCATTGACTTACATGAAAAGTAGAGTAGGTTTTCGTCCATTTCCTGTAAAGTTACCATTTTGGAGATACAAGGTTTTCTTCCAACAACAGCGATACACACACACACACATATATATATGTATATATATATATATATATATATATATATATATATATATATATTTATAAATGTTTATGTATATATGTGTGTGTGTTGATATATTTTTTTAAATTAACTTTTAACATTTGTTAAAAAAAACCTCTAAAAACAACAAACAGAACTGAGATGACAACTGATGGTCAGTCAGTGGATGTTATGATTCCTGCTGAAATGTCATTTCCCTTGAATTTTAAAGGGCCCATCTCGTGGAAAACTGAATTTTCCATGCTTTTTAAAGAAGTGACTGTAATGTAGTATGTAAACATTGTTAGTTTTAAAACATATCATTCAATTTGAAAACAGCTCATTTTGAATACACTGTTTTTGTGATGTCACAAAAACCAACAATTTTGCATACGTCCACCTCCAGACTGCAGCGGTTTAGCCCCAACTGCTCACACTACATACACATTTACATACATCAGTCTTAAAGGTACAGTAACAAAAACAGTGTTTTATTCTTAGTTATAAAGAGAGGCTGGAAAATTCTCATCAGAAAATTAATTATGACTGTATTATAAGTGGATCTCAGAGGGGAAATAAAATGGAGAAATGTAGGATATGGGCTTTTTCAAAAATTAGAAGACGTTTCAGAGGCAGGAAAAGTCATTAAATTTTGACGGAAGATTACAGAAAATAAGAATGTAGTCCTTTGAATGATCTTACATGATGAAGTGTTTGATATGACCAGTGACGTGAACTAACAAGGTAACAAAAAATAATTTCAGTCCTGCTTTAAACTCACCATCTTTGTCAACGTCCTTGGCCATCTTGCTCAGCTCTCTCTTTGTTGGGTTGATTCCCATCAAACTCATCAGCCTCTCCAGCTCCTGCGTCTTCACGTCTCCATTCCCCTCTTCATCAAACATTTCAAACACGCCCTTATACTCAGTGATCTGCTCCGGGGTCAGCTTGCTTGCCTCGAAAGGGGACAACACTTACTGTAAATCGCGTATCTGCCAGATCATCTGAATATAAAGGGGAATTCCACCAGTTTCTCAATCACTGCAGAGCACGACTGCACTGATTTCTCTGCATAATTCAGTGGGTGAGATGTAAACAAAGTCACTCAGAGCGGTTTGATGTGAAATGGTTTGTTCTAGAGAAACCTTCCAGTCAGAACTGTTCACAGTGGGGGTGATAGGAACCAGATGTCTGAAGAGTTTAATGCCTTTGAAAGCTCCTTCACGGAAACAGTTATGAATTCACTGTTCTGATACGTTGTTTTGAATTGTATTTTTTCGCCTAAATTGATATACAAGCAGGGTGTTGTAAAGTAAAATATGACCCAAAGAAACCAGATTTTTCCAGATTTACCACTATTTTATAATCATCAGCATTATATATGTTCCCGGATTGGATAGTAAATAAAATGGCTATATTTGTTTTGTTGATATCACGAACCCTGGTTCCTATCACCATCACTGTAAAAGACATCCGAGCTGGAAAACACTGTCAACGATTGAATTACACAGAACTTTTTAAAAAATTGGTGGAATTTCCCTTGAAATCTCACACATAAGACACGGGATGTAATTATTACACATAGTGATCATGGCACTAGAGTGCTGCCCATCTCCTGAAGGTCAAATTTGCTTGATGTTCCTTTATGATTAAACCTGCACTGTATGTTAAAGAATTCAACACAGTAAAGACATCAGCATGAAGAAAATATCAGAGGAAAAATACAAATTTGCTCACTATGGTCCAGAAAATCTATACCAGAGAAACTGTAAAGCGTTAAAATCACAGCAACTCTGTAAAAACACAGTATATATATATATACGTTAAAGAGAGCAGAAGGTGTAAAACTGAAGATAACTATGCATTTAATTGGAATTACACAGAATTATAGTAATGGTGGTAAAGTTCAGTTCAGTTTGCAGTAGTTTGTACAGAGTGCTGGGCTATTTGATGACATTTATTGTTACAAAATATATCACAGATGCTTTTGAACATCCTATGGATTTCGGGAACACTGATCAGCTGCATGTTTCCTTACAAGACAGCATAATTTATCCTGATTAATTAAAATTAGTTTGACACATTATGTGAAACGCTGGTTTAAAATGACTGTATTCATCATTTTTAACTGTATTTTTTACATGTGGCACTGTAGGGGCATCTTTTTTAATTATCAAACCCCAGAAAAACCGAATATCATGATGCAAATTGTATATCATGTATTCTGAAAATGCCTTGACGTATTGTGATGTTGATTTGACGTAAGAATGCACACGAGCTTCCAGAATTCATAGCAAAATACAATAACAGACTGTGTAGAAAACAGTGAGTTATTATATTACTCTACACTGTTAGAAATAAAGGTTCTGTGCAGGTACATGTTTCGTCTATCAAGGTACAAACAATGTAAATGTTGGTTTTAAGTGGTTTTAAGGTCTACTTATGCCCCTTAAATAAGTTTTTCCAGGTGTAAAGTACATATTTGTACCTTTTCATAACCGAATGTTTTAAAACATAACAATAAAATAAAAGCCTGGAGACGAGACGGGGTGTGTGGAGTCAGTACAGCTTAGAAAATATCATTTCAGTGGATTATGGTGCAGTTATGTTCCCTGACTAAAGGTACTGAGATGTACCCTTGAGGGTCCCACCCCAGTGACAAGAGGGGTCCTGCCCCAGTAATAGTTTACTACATTTTTTCTGAGAGTGTAAAATTACAGTAATTATTACAGTGTAAAATAACATCTTTCTTATTATACATTAATAAAATATACAACCACAGTGAAACAGTAAGAAAAGCAATGATTCTAATAGAAGGTACACTCTTAAAAAAGATAGTTCTTCAAGGGTTCTTCAGTCAAGAAAATGGTTCTATATAGAACCATGAACACTCAAAGAACACCCAAGGATCTCTTGCATGATTTGCATGAGAAGTGCTTTAGATTGTTCTAGAGTCTTTTTGAAATTGTTTTATATAGCAACAAAAAGAGTTCTTCTATTGTTACAAGCTCAGTCGTAACAGTAGCAGAACTCTTTTTGGTGCTATACAGAACCCTTTTCAAAAAGGTTTTTTGTAGAACCATACACAGGACTTTCTCCTTCATTATGAAGAACACTTTCACAATGCAAACAACCCTTTAGTCATGCAAATGGGTTCTTTGAGTGTTCGTGGTTTTATATAGAACCATTTTCTTTACCAAAGAACCCTTGAAGAACCATCTTTTTTTAAGAGTGTAGGTAATGTAAGGTTCAAGAAAAAACTCACCATTTTGTCAGGATTCTGAACTGGAAGCTTCTGCGTCCACTGACCGAGTGCTGGGGAGACTCTACCTAGAAAATCGTAGTTGATGTTATGTTAAATTCTCCCTGGAGACTTTTGCGCACTTTTACACGCACCATTTATGGTATCCTAAAGATTTTCTCCACTTGAGGGATCATCTGCCCTGCTCCTCTCTGAGTGTATTGAATTTCATGTCTTTATTAATGGCAGAAAATGAAGACTAAGGTGGAATTTGGCCTCTCAAATAGAAAGCGCATAATAAAACTATAGTTTGATCAGCTGAAATACTGTGTCTGAAAAAGGTCGCGTACATCTTCATTCCTCTTTGGGATTTAGTAACTTTTCAGCTATGGCACTTTGAGCAGGTGCTTCAGGCTGCTTAGTCCCGTGTGAACGTCAGCAGACCAAATACAGGGATGTGCACCATTAGGCTTCTATTTTCAGTTCACAACAACTGTGGCTGTCATTAGGGATTCTGGATTATTCCACTACAATAATTGTAAGTGTTGTAAGCAGTCAAGTGTCTCACATTTTGTATCATTTGGTGGATAGCTAGACGAGAGACACTTCAGGGCAGGACTATTTGACCCCTGATCCTGGAGGCCTGCTAAGTTAGATGATTTCCCTGCAAAAACACTTAAAAACACTCACTAAATTCTCGGTTGACAGACACACTATATGTCCAAAAGTCTGTAGCCACCTGGTCCTCCAGCATTTTTTTCTGAAATGAAGGAGGGAGTTTGTCCCCCTTTGCTGCAGTAAAAGCCTCTACATTTCTGGGAAGACTTTACACCTGGTGTTAGAACATTGCAGTGAGGATTTGATTGCATTCAAGCACAAGAGCATTAATGAGGTCAGGTACTTGTGTTGGATGATCAGTTCTGGATCACAAACTCCATTCCAGCTCATCCCAGAGGTATTGGATGGAGCTCCATCACTCCAGAGAACACAGTTCCACTGCTTCACAGGTCAATGCTGGGGGCTTTATACCCCTTGAGCTGACACTTGGCATTGCGCATAGTGATCTTAGGCTCATGTGCAGCTACTCCGGAGTATCCCATTCTACTGATTCTGTTGATCAATGCTTTTCTATGAAGATTATACAAGCTATGTGTTTACTTGATACATGTATCAGCAATGGGTGCACCTTCAAGTAGCTGAACTCACTAATTAGAATGGCTGTCTGGATACTTTTGGAAAAAGTGTGAACCACTTGGTTGAACCAAGTGTATCTAAGCACATATCAAATGTTGCTGGACACTGCCCCCTCAGGACCACTGAGTACTGAATACTCCTGAGTCTTTGACAGCCCTGCATATCATGTGAACATTCGTTCTGCTCTTTGATTTGATTTGATTGATGACGTACATCTTTCAGTCTGTGCTGTGTGAACAGTTTAACTTGTTTGTTTGAAGGAGAATTCCACATTTTTCTAAATTTCAACATAATTCAGTGGTTCATTCAGGTATGGTTTGATGTGAAATGCCCATAGAGAATCTTACCAACTCAGACTTTTCTTCACAGTGGTGATAAGAAACAGGGGTCATCCATACAATGCCATTTTATTACCATCCAAATGACCAGCGAATCTTCACATATCCTCTGAGTTTTTATAGGCGATGTTAATGACGGTAAACTTGTGGTAAATCTGAAAAAAAAAGTTCTCTTTGCTGACTATTTTGCTTTACCTTGCCCTGCATGTACAGTGCTGTGAAAAAGGTTTTGCCCCTTCCTGATTTCTTTTACTTTTGCATTATTTGTCACACTGAATTATTTAACATGTTCAAACAAAATTTAAATGAGACAAACACAACCTGAGTAACCACAAAAAAACTGTTTAGTTTTTTGAAATATCATGATATCAAGTCATTTATTTGAAGAAAAAAGTTATCCAACACCAACCGGCCCTGTATGGAAAAGTAATTGGCCCTTTACACGTGTATTTACAGCATTTAGTAGACGCTCTTATCCAGAGTGACTTACAAAGTGTTTTGTTGTCTACTCAGAAAAAGTATCTTTGCTAGTTACAAATAGGTTAGAGAGAAAGGAGGATGGTTAGAGGATGCGGAGTGTGAAAGTGTTCTTCAGCTTGATGGAGAATGTCCGGTATATGGTTCTATGTAGAACCTTTTTGAATAGGGTTTGCTTGACATTGTAACAATCGAAGAACCCTTTTTTGGGCTGTATAGAACCCTTTTCAAAAAGGCTCTATATAGAACCGTCTACAGCACATTCTCCACTGATCTGAAAAACACTTTCATGATCCGAAGAACCCTTTAATCATACAAAGGGTTCTGTGAGTGTTCATGGTTCTATATAGAACCATTTTCTTGACTAAAGAACTCTTCAAGAACCCTCATTTTAAAGAATGTAGTTGTTTTATGTCAGGAAACTTATTTGGTAATAATATTATATTGTAATTTTATATTGTAATATTTTGAATTGTTAATAAACTATTTACCTTTATAGTTTATAAAGTTTCAATTTACACTGTATAAGATATTATTCATTATTATTAATATGACAAGTTATTCCAAACGTGTGAATCGTAGTGACTGGATGACTGAACTGAGATGCAGAAATGCTCAGAAATAGGCTTTGGATAATCTAAACCAGAGGTCACTAATAGGCGGACCACGGTCCGAGTCCAGACCCAGATGCTGTCCTATGTGGACCTGAACCTATAACCGATAAACTATGGAAAATTATTTAATTTCGATGGGTCTTATTTTAATTGGCGTAACTTTTCTAGCCTTGATGGTAGCTTTAGTGGCCGGAGACTCACTGACCAATGGCAGGCGTTGTAAATATATCACACGTGATGCTACTCAGCCAATCAGATCTGTGCATTACGATGAGCACTGAGACTCGAATGAGCGACGCACACACAGGGGAGGGACAAGGAGAGACACAGCAGTTGGAGAAGAAAGTGAGTCAGGAGAAGTTATTTCACATGCCGTGCTCTAAAAAAGGGAAAACTGACCATAAATGTTGTTGAAATATGACTGAACTGTACTTTATTTGATTTGACATTCAGTTGTTGACTGTATAAGATGTTGATATACCTACTAGGCTACTTCAGTTTACAGTGTGGCACTGAATCATAATACAAGTTAGACATTGTGATGTTCCGGACGTTTGCTTGAGGAAATTTTCTCTAACTGGACCTTATTGAATTTTAATGAAATACCTCTGATCTAAACCGTTTTTATCATTATGTATTAATAAATTTATATTTTTTTCTTCCAGTGTTGAAGTGCACTCTTCAAAAAGAAGGTTTTTCAACGGTTGTTTAGTAAAAGGAATGGTTCTATTTATAACCATGAGTTCAACATACACTTAGAAAAGATGGTTAAGAGGTCTGTAAGCATGCAGATGGTTCTTTGAGTGCTCATGGTTCTAGATAGGACTATTGTCTTTACTAAAGAACCCTTGAAGAACCATCTTTTTTAAGAGTTTAGATCCATTTCATGTTTAAATGGTTCTTTGTATAGTGAAATGGTTCTTCAGATTGATGGAGAATGTGTTGTGCATGATTCTATGTAGAACCTTTTTAAAACGGTTTTATATAGCACCAAAAAGCGTTCTTCTATTGTTACACAATGCTTAACACAGTAACCAATAGCAGTACGCTTTTTGATGCTATATAGAACCACATACAACAGAGTCTCCTTCAGTATGAAGAACCATTTCAGCAGGCAAAGAACCATTTGAGTATGAAATGGTTTTAAATAGACTTTGTGTTTCAGAATAGAACATTCCCTTTACTAAAGAACCATCTTTTAAGAGTGCACATAGAACTGGTTCTAAAAAGAACCATTGCCTTTAATATAGAACCCCTGAAGAAGCATCTTTTGTATACAGACGTGTATACAGAACTCACGCTTCCAGAAAGAACAACTGCCTTTACTAAAGAACTCTTGAATAACCATTTTCTACAGAGTGTATTTAGAACTCATGGTTCTAAATAGAACCATTCTCTTCAAAAAAGAACCCTTGAAGAACCATCTTTTTTAAGAGTGTATAAAGAACTCACAGTTCCAAACAGAAGCACTTCCTTTACTAAAGGACCCTTGAAGAACCATTGTTAAAAAATGCATATAGAACTCATGGTTCTAAATAGAACCATTGCCTTCATTAAAGAACCCCTGAAGAAACATCTTTTTAAAGAGTGTATACAGAACTCACGCTTCCAGATAGAACAACTGCCTTTACTAAAGAACTCTTGAACAACCATTTTCTACAGAGTGTATATAGAACTCATGGTTCTAAATAGAACTATTCTCTTCAATAAAGAACCCTTGAAGAACCATCTTTTTAAAGAGTGTATAAAGAACTCATGGTTCCAAATAGAAGCACTTCCTTTACTAAAGGACCCTTGAAGAACCATCGTTAAAAAGTGCATATAGAACTCATGGTTCTAAATAGAACCATTGTCTTCATTAAAGAACTCTTGAAGAACCATCTTCTTAAAGAGTGTATAAAGAACTCACGGTTCCAAACAGAAGCACTTCCTTTACTAAAGGACCCTTGAAGAACCATTGTTAAAAAGTGTATATAGAACTCATGGTTCTAAATAAAACCATTGTCTTCATTAAAGAACCCTTGAAGAAGCATCTTTTTTTAAGAGTATACAGAACTAACGGTTCCAAATAGAAGCACTTCCCCTACTAAAGAACTCTTGAAGAACCATTTTTTAAAGAGTGTATGCAGAACTCATGGTTCTAAAAAGAACCATTCCCTTTACTAAAGAACTCTTGAAGAACCCAGCTCCATTAAGAGTGTGAGACTGGTGGCCTGTGGCGCTGCTGGTGCGTAAGCGCGCTGCTGCTGCGGCGTGGGGTTTCCCGAGGCGCACTGCAGGGTCACCGCGCCCATCTCGTTGTCTGATGGCCGGATGAGAAGCGAGCTGGAGGAGAGCGCTCCTTCAAGGAAGGCAACGGGAAGTGGCGACCGACGGATTTATACCGTGCCCAAATCTTGCCCACGGACCTCAATGACTGGCGTTCCGCATCGCAGTTGAACTCTTCTGCTTCAGACTCTTCCAGAACCGCGTTCATTTCTGCCTCCGGAGCGAGTTATTTTCTGAAACCTGGACTCGTTCTGTGAAGACTGACTGAGGCTAGTTAGCGAGCTAGCTCGTCTTGTCCGTTGATGCGTGGATGTGACAGCTGCACAGTCGTGTTTTTTCGGTCAATGCCATATAAAACAAGGCCAGCTACGACTGAGTACAGGTATGTCGGACGATACGTGTGTAGTGTTGGAGAAGGAGGTGAAGTATTTGTCGCTGGGCAGCGGCGTTTTGTCGGTAGTAATGACTGGGTTGTTGTGTGATGAACGGGGGGAGGGGGAGGTGGGGTAACGTTAGCTTAGCTGGAGGTAGCTGACCGATTTACATACAGACAAAAAGGATAGGAAAATGCTCCAAAGCCGTTTGCTTAACCGCATATTCAAACAAATAACGTTACCAGCTGTCCACCCTCGACACTAGTAGGTTTCATCCGTATTTTTTAGTGTAGAAAGCTGGGCGCTAGCTGCTTCGAGGAGTAGCTGGCTGGCAGCAGCTTCTTAAAAGTGAAGAATCTTTTTCGCCGAGGCTGAAGTAACGTTAGGCTTCTGTTTCGAGTTTTCCGTTCCACCTTAAACGGTACAGCAGTTAACTTACATTCAAACACCTACAAGACATCTGAATCTAACTGCTGCACCGTTTAAGGTGGAACGGAAAATCCGAATGAGAAAGCCAACTTCAGCCTTGTAACGTTAGCTAACGGTAGATTTTCAGGCCTCCGCTTCTCGCTGCAGTTGTTTTTTCGTGCTCGGTTGTGGATTAAGATACGGCAAATTAAGAACAAGCTCATCGTGGGCAAACTTAGTTTAAGATCTTCTTATTTCAGCCCCTCATTTATAATTATTTCGCGTTTGCTGTGAGATGTGAGGATCCCTCCATAGCTGGGAAGTCTGCTAGCTAACTAGCTAATTAGCCACTTTAGGATGTAGCTAGGTTAACTTGGCTAACTCGATTGGCATAACGTTATTGACTGTCTTTACACCCAGAACTAGGCTGAGAGTTTGTGACTTGAGCTTCGGTTTTAAAACCGTACACAGCCATCTGTCAGATCATCCCTGTTGTTTGGACCCGTCTTGTGTTTAAGAAGATGTTTTAATCTCGCTCCCTTCAACAGTGTATTAATTTCAGCTAGCGCTAGCTGGTTAACGTTAAGCTATCTGGCTAGCGGTCAAAATCCGTCGGGGTCGGTCAGTACTGTCTCTAACCGATCTGACCGATATGCCGTCCACTCCGACAGGTATCGCTGACAGTAAATCTTCGGGCTTATACTGTGTTGAGTCGAACCGGACTGTGGTTAACGTTATATCTGCAGTAAAGTTAAGCCCGTTAGCTTTATTAGCCTAAGCGGCGTAATCCTTGTCGAGTTAAGCGAGCGCCTCTGCTTTTAACTGCACTTTAACGAGGTAACCTAATTGGATTTTCCTCGAGAAACTTCCCTCATTCGGAGCTCATTTGCGGGCAGAAACGTCTAACAGGCCCTTTTCCGAATGCGGCTAACAGTTCAGGTTGGCTACAGCGCGGGTGGTGGTGTCATTTTCGATATTTCGACCTCAAAATTGTCACGGTTCTTGATAACGATAGTAAAATTGGGCTGCGGCTTTCGTGCCAAGAACCTTCCGTCTGAGGTGGATCCGAGTGGGTGAGCTGAGAATAACGTTACGTTGACGTTAGCCTCAACAGACCGATTTCGAGGGCCGTAGTCGCCGGTATATTTTAAGCAGCCTTCGCTCCTCTCATAAATGATGACATGTTAGTAAAAAATGTGGCGTTTAATCGTGTTGTAAGGAGGTTTTCCGCGCCTGTGCTTCCTCCTTTCTTAGACTCGGTAACCCGCACTGGTGAATAAATGAAACCAATCAATGGATCCTTCACTGTAGGGCCCAAGAAGCGGCTGCGAACAAGATGGCGTTTGGAGCTCTTGCTCGTCGGCTTCCCTCTCTGCAAGATATTAGCATGCCATTGATTTAGCCCACAGGAAGGGCCAGGGAGAGAGTCTTGCTCCTTCTGTCCTTTCATAGCTCGTTTTTTGCCTTTCTGTTGCTAAATACTGGTACTCATTTGCAGTTTCTTTGCAGCCCCAACCCCTTTTTAAGTGTGGTCAGCAGGTAATTGTATGCTAGCTACGAGAAGAGCGTTTTCCAGTTTCCTCCTTGTTTTGACAAGCATTTCTTCTAAATATCTTCTGCGCTCACTTGGTAGAGATGAAGTGTATTGTGCACTCAGTCTTCTGATGAATTGAAACGACTGTGTCCTTAGACGCGGACCACACAAAGTGGGCCCATTCTCGGGGCTACTGTAGGCATGCTAAACCTGAAATTGTTACTGGCTCCCTGTGAACTGTTGGAACCACATAGGACTGGGCGGTATGACAGTATGTATCGTTATCATGATAAATTGTCACAAAACAATACAGAATGCTTTTCTGAACATTTTGGCGAGATCGTCTGTAGTTGTCACTGACCAGCTACCTGTTTCATTATAAGGAGAGCAAAATTAGTCCCATTTTACTAGATTTGGTGCAACACAGTATTCCAGATATTGAACAAAAATAATTGCGCTCACAGTTTTTGATGGTGTTTTTTAAAATGTAGCCCTACTGGTTCTTTTTTCTCTATTCCAACTGATCAGATGTCTGAAAAACTAAATATTATGACGTGTCGTGTATCCCGAAAATTTCTTGAAGTGTTGCAATATTATATTTTTGCAATATTGCCCACCTCTAGTACCAGAATGCCTTTTGGTTCTATCTACATTTGGCTTTCAGCAGTGCTGAGCAATAAAGTGCCTGCACCTGTTAGACACGGCCTGTTGGTGCCGATAGATATTGGTATCGGGTTGATATGGGCACAAAATGCTGATTGGGATATCAAAGGGAAAGGAATTAATCCGTTCCAGTTCTGTAACAAATCTGTCCTGAAATAGCACTTACTCCCACTGTGTGATGTGATGTTTGCTTTATTTTTCTTCCTCTGGGGTGGTAGAGCCTATTTTTAGATGCTCATCTCAAGTGAGGTAAAAATTAAATTATAAGACTTGATAGTTTTTAAAGAAAACATATTAGATCTGTGTCGTATCTGCAAATACTAAAGGGTTTGAAAGTGTCATTATACCATCTCTGGTACCTGCAAACCATAATACTTACATACTATGGTGTTGCTTTCCAGCTTTAGTGGTATTTCTAACAGTATTTTTGATAGATATTGAACATCGCATTATAAATCATGCCGATAAACTAGCAGTGTCCCTGTTGCCAAGCGGCTTGTTTGTAGTTGTTTTTTTTTTTTCCCTTTTTTTTTCTTTGTTTTGTGCCCTTTACTCAACTAGGACCTGACAAATAACTGCAGTGCATTTATTTACTGTTTGCTTGAGATTTTGAAAGAACAGTTTAAAATCCACAAAAATAAGCAACTAGCTAATTTCCTGAGCATCATGATAGGTGTACACGGTGGGAGAAGGAGGGGAAACAAATTATTGGTTAATTTAATTTTTCCCATCCCAGTAGTGCACGGTGACATGATCTAAAGTCATAGATGTTTTAGAGGCAGGTAAATGTCAACTTTTCAATTGGCAATAATTTTATCTTTTAAAGTGCCCAGGCACATGAGCTGTCAGTATAAGTAAGACAAATTCTGGTACCAGATTGAGTTTAAATGTCTCATGATACTGTGATTATATTCAGGAAATATTGTGATATTGAATATTATCAGTGTTGTCCACCACTAGTCAGAAGGTAATGAATACAAGGCATTAAGCATTATGTTAACCCTAAAAGTATTTGGTGTGTGTATGAATGAACATGCGTATGACTATTTGTTTTTATTCATCTTTTGATCGTTGTTTTGTGCCATTCTGCCTTTGATGCTGGCAATGCTTTGTAATGTTATGGTGCTCTGTGAAACTGAATTTAAAGGACATTACTTCAATTTCAGTGCACTCAGTTTTAAAGTGTGAAAATGTGCTGTAGTGTCTTATGACTGATTCAGATTTCTTTACAGCCAGGTTGGTGAATAGCTGATGTAGCATGTAAGTTGTTAGTTAAGCCAGTGTTGCAATATAAATGGCATTAATTGCACTTTATCATGATAAACGTAATCAAAAAATTAGTTACCTATTTAAAAAAATGTGACATCAACTAAAGTGCCACTTTTAAAGTAAGAGAGAACTGGTTGTCAGGCAAAATAATTTGTGATTATGCTGTGACATTGTGGATCAGGTGTAGTAACAGCATTTAAATACAGCACAAGTGCACTTACCTGGCTCAGGTTATTTACATCATAAATTACAACACAGGTCAGCCAAAATCAAAAAGTGGGAGTATGATTTGGCTGGATCTCTGTGGAGTAGAAGAAAATGGGCTTGACTTGTAAAACACACGACAGACTGGAAGGGCTTAAGATGCATGTCTAGTGTAGCTGGACTTTGTGTTGCTTAAAATGTAAACATATCTGTTCCATAACATGGACAGTTAATCGATTCCAGTATTATTTATGAGAGTGATTTAAGTATTTGGATACTCGTTCGGAAATACCAATGAGTTTGCGAAGCCTGTAAAATGCTTTTCGAGTTGATCCTAATTTTTAAAGGCAGACCAATATTATTTTTTGTCACTCTTTTTGTACTTGAAATGTATAACCATTCTGAAGCATCTAACCAATCACAGTGAGAACAAGTACAACTAAACTACAGCCTCTGCCCAGTACAAACAACAAATGAAGTCTGTCTCCCTGCCATATCGGTTCAGAATAGTTTAAAACTTTTTCGTCACAGATTCGTATTTAAAATGTATTTGTTTTATTGTGCTGATATTTGTAGTTCTATGTTGTGGACAAAAATAAATTTGTTAGTCTTTGATAGCTTATTTTCACTAATCATGGATCAATATTGAAGAGCTTTTTATATATTTAGACTGGAAAAAGCTCATCTGGTTCAGATCACAAAGTATTGCATTGAATAAAATTGTTTGCCATCAATTTACCGAGCTCTGCTCGTTACAACTACTTCTTCTTATCACCCACATTTGTATTACTTTTGGCTGATTTGTTCTCAAACGGTTGGTTCTCGAAACAAAGTTTACATTTTCATTTGTAGCATAGATGTTGCTTGTATTAAAAGAAAAAAGGTGGCGCTATATGCATGCACCACCCTATTTCCTACTAGAAGGAATAG